GAAAGGATCCAAGACGGAAAAATTTAGAGACAGGATGACTGATCTCATCAAGTACATGACAAAAAATAATCTCGGAAGGGAAATTAGTAACGAGATGAAGGGACATTTAAGGTTACAGTACGATCGTAGCTACACCGAAACAACGATTTTCCAGGATGTTCCGGTCTCTATCCAGACAAAGGTAATTAATTAATAATCAGATTGTATAAAAGTGCTAGTTTTGATTGAATAATTAGGAAAAGGAAGATGGTTAACTTAATTATGATTTAACTATTGGCTGATACTTACCTTTTCCCCCTTCTTCCTTCCAGATTTCACAGAAGCTTTATGAGCCATATCTCAAAGAAGTTCCCCTTTTCAAAGGATGCTCTTCAAGGTTCATGAAACATATCGTAAGTTATTTGTCACATTGATGTATTTTATTCTAGCTAGATTTATGGCATATTTACTGCAACGGTAACTTTGTGGGTTAAGTGAAATCAGGTTTGCTTATGTTGTTAATTTGCTAAATGCTCAGGCGACAAAGGTTCACGAAGAGTTTTTCCTACCTGGGGAAGTAATCATTGAACAAGGAAATGTAGTGAACCAGTTATACATTGTTTGTCACGGTGAATTGGTAATTGTTTCTCCCTCCGGTCTACGTGCCATTCTCTCTATAAATGTTTTTGTCTATACTTTATTGTGTGTTATTTTATAAATTCAACAGAAAATGGTGGAATTGTCGATCTGTTTGAGTCGCATACTAAATTACTTTATTTCTCATTTGTGATTTCTTTCTTGGTAGTAAAAGAGTTCCTTTCATTATTTTGATTAATTTATGATTTTGGTACACTATATTTATTGATGTTCTATGTGTTAAGTTTGACAATTGGTGGTTTGTTTTACTCATGTGATGTACTTATTATTGTGTTCTTTTTATTAACTTTGATCTTTTCTCTTCCTTGCGAACTTAAGATTGGACTATACTCGATATTTAGCATGAGGTTGGTTTTATCGTGAACAATTGTCCGTCCCATTTTGTCTTTTGTATAAATGTAAAATAAGTGATAATATTATAAATTTGAGTTAATCGGTCCAACAATCTTTATAATTTTTTCTCATTGATCCCTGATCTAGTTTTTTTTATCTACAGGAGGAAATAGGAAAAGAAGAAGATGGCAAAATGGTGGAGATTATTCTTGCAAATCTACAAACATATGATTCTTTTGGTGAGGTTTCCTTCTTATGCAATACCCCTCAATCTAACACAATTCGAGTTCGAGACTTGTGCAAGGTTTTGCGGTTAGACAAACAATCCTTCAAAGAGATCATTGAGATATTCATCCACGATGCTCGAACTATCTTGAACAACCTTCTTGAGGTGAGTGTTCTTATAGGTACAACTTAATATTGTCAAGATGTTGTTTATCACATTACTTCTACGCATTACTAATGTATAGAGGCTTTCATATGGGGATGTGGAAAAGTATCACAATTAGCTAGTTTAGTTTGAAAATGTCACAACTTCCTCTCTTTTATATCAATACAATTTTAAAATTTTCCAGGGAAAGGACCCGGTTGTTAGAAAGAACATACTAGAGTCAGACGTAACTCTTGACATTATAAAGTCCGAATCGGAGTTAGTCACACGACTGAACACCGTCGCATTTGATGGAGACTTGTACAGACTAAAACGTCTGGTCGCCGGAGGCCTTGATCCCAAAAAGACGGATTATGACGGAAGATCACCTTTGGTATGATTATGACTTATGAGTTCAACTAACACACAAGTCCTTTGTCTACATATCTCATAGTTTTGACAATGTGAATGAAGTTATACCTTCAAAGTTTCTATACATGTTAATTCCCTAACTTCTGTTTACAGCATGTTGCTGCATCAAAAGGGTTCAAAGACATGACGCTTTTCCTTATCGAACAAGGATTGGACATCAACACTTCAGGTTGATTGTGTTCTTCAACTATTACATCCATTATTGAACTATAGTATTAATTTCCAATACCCTTTTCATATATGAAGTCTTGGAACTTAATGGTAGAATATACACAGATAAGTTTGGTAACACTCCATTGCTTGAAGCTATCAAGAACGGCCATGAAGAAGTGGCTTCTCTACTCCTCAAAGCAGGAGCATCACTCAATACCATGGAAGATGCTGGCGATTTTCTTTGTAAGATTGTGGCCAGGCGTGAAGTTGATATTCTGAAAAGGGTTTTGGAGGGTGGCATAAATTACAATGCCAAGAACTATGATAGCAGGACTGCCCTTCATGTTGCCGCCTCAGAAGGATTATATGAAATGGCAAGCTTACTTGTGGAGGCAGGAGCCAGCATTTTGGCAAAAGACAGGTTCTTAATAATTTTTACCTATTTTAGGATAGTAACTCACTTTTAAAAAATAATATTAGAGTACTTATGTCTTTTTTTTATTTTCATTGTCAGATGGGGAAATATACCTCTTGATGAAGCTCGTGTTGGTGGTGACAAGGCAATTATGAAGTTGCTTGAGATCCAAGGTACTACTTTCTTTAGGGAAGATAAAATGTGGACGAAGATGGTACTTTATCATTGTGTGTCTAATAGTGTTAGTATCATAGTCAGTATAAGATTCATTTCCAAACATCTAGTTCGAGCTATTAAGATGATATTGGTTAATTTACATGATAGTATAATTTCTAATAGTTGAAATACGTTATATTCCAGTTATAGTAATCTCAATACTTGTTTTTGTTAGTTGCAACTTGCAAGTGACTTCCATTTTATCTTCATAGTTACAAATACAATATGGACCAACATTCTTATGTATAATTTTCATTCTGAAGGAATAGATAGGACACAACCAAGAAAATGCAACATCTTTCCGTTTCATCCGTGGGATCCAAAGGAGAAGAGAACAGAGGGAATTACATTGTGGGTTCCTCAAACCATAGAAGAGCTCATGAAAGAAGCAACAGAACATTTGAAGTCACCAGGTGGGTCGATGATCTTAACCGAGGATGGTTGCAGAATTGTGGATGCCAACATGATCCTTAATGACCAAAAGCTGTATTTAGTTTAGTACATCATGTTTAGTAAGGGAGAAGCTTTCTTTTTTGGTTAATTACGTTTGTATAATGATAACATGTGTATTGTGTAATCAAGCCAATTAGAGATCAAATGGGACTAGGGATAAAGTACTCCTCTCTATCAAGCTTGAAAGTATATCTAATTGGTTTATTGATAGGTTTCTTATCTACAATCAAATCATATTGGAGATTGAGTTCATTAGGCCCTGTTTATTATATAAAAAAAATCATACTAAATATGTTTTTTCCATTTTACTTGAAAACCACAACAAATAACAGAAACACACAATGATACTAAGCAAAGTCAATTAAGTCGCATAATTTGATTCATTTGAGTTGAAATAGAAACACGATGCACAATGAAAATCTCTTTATCAAGAGCATATGGATGCCTGAAGCTCAAGTCTAAAGTCTAAACCCCTTATTACGTTACAAACACCTACACGTTGTTGATATACTTGAAGTAGGACTCCAACCGTGATGACCTCACAAATATCGCCGAAATACAATACCAAAGTCCATGATCCAAATGCATAGTCCATTTTTTTCAAATATGCAATTGGTTTTAGGTTTATGAATAATTATTCTTTTTCAAATTTCAATTTGTACCGTCTATAACAATTGATTGTATGTTTTCCTATAAAAAAACAAGTAATTGTATGTTTAAAGCATGAGGTGCTTTATTTAATAAAAAATCTTAGAGGATTTGAGAATGGTTGATATAATAATCTTCAATTATCATCAAACGTACATGTCATCTCTTAGCAACCACAACTATTTTTTAAGATAGATATTAATTAGTACATGAGAAGTTGTACTGTCTTAATTGTCATATTTTTATATAGTGTGAATGAGACTACTTGTGGATTTATTATTGTCTTACTTAGTGTTTGTAGTTATGTTAATCTCTATATGGATATACATATAAATTAAAACCAGGTCAAAAATATGTTTGGAGAGGACCAGAAAATTTACACGCTTCAAAGTATTTATATTTATTTATGCAACTCTTAATGAAGTTTGTATCATTCTCCTCTTATCCTAAAAACAAAAATTTATTCTTCTCCGTTGAGTTACTTGTTTATGTGTACTAACATGACTTGGCTTATGTATGGGATCGTATATATGAATTCCCGACAAATCGATAACAGCAGTTCAATCGGACATACAACTTGCTGATAACCACCAAAAGAGTAATGTAGAAATGACGAGCTACCAAAATTTGGACTCCAAACCTGAATACAAACATTGCCCCTTTACCATCTCCCCCACCCTTAGCCTTAGGAATGACAATGGGCAAGTTCGGCGCGGGTTTCTTGGTACCCAGATCCGTCCGTGGCAGGTTGGGTTCAGGTCGGATAATTTATCATGGATCGCAGATCGACTTAATTAATGTGCAATTTATATGAAAAACATTAGAAATATTCATTATTTTTATTATAAGACCAAGAAAACAAACAATATTATGATAAATGTAGTTAAATTATTAGAGAAATTGAGGTTTTCACTAATTTACAATTTTATTATAGCTAAATTATGATGTAATAAAAGAAAAATTATAAGTAATTTGACTACGATTACATGTAATTTAGGCATAAAGGGGTTGTGAATGGAGCGGATCAGAACAGGTCGGGTCATTGAGAGTACCCATGTCTGTAGGCAGAGAACAAGTCGGACCCGCTCCAAAACAAACCAAACAAGTCAAATAAGATGTGATATGTCGAAATTGCCATACCTACCCATCCTTAATGGTTTGTGATCGCCTTTTATTATTGTTGGCCTAGAGCAAGTAGCAACACTTTCTACAGTCCATAAAGGGCAGCACATAACATATAAACCCTCCGAATCGGCCCACGAATGCACTGAAACCCAGCCCATAACATCTTCAATAATAAAGAACTGAAATAGACAAAAGCATTCCTTCCTTGCAAAGCAAAGCAACGGATCCGGATTCCGGCCCAGGACCCGCACAGAACCACAAACCAAAGAATATTAAACCAGTTTCCTCGGCAAGCAGCTTGGCCAAATCCACCGCTTCTAGAAACTCCCGAAACCAGAATTCTTACTCGTCCAGCGAGCTCCAAGCCAGCATTTCCGTCGAAGGTAGGAGAAAAAGAAAAACGATAATGGCTTTGCAGTGGATGATCCTGGCTTACGTGGTGGCAGCGGAGGTGGTCCTCGTCTCGCTGTTGACGATCCCGGCGCCAAAGCTACTCAAGAACCAGCTGGTCTCTCTCGTCTCATTAATCCTCCAGCCGGCGATGTTCATCGTCCCATTTGCCGGATTTCAGCTCCTCGGTAAGTCGGCTTTCTTTCTCCTCTCCCCGATTTCGTCTTAGATTCGGTTTTCAGCTCGAGCGGCGATCGGATCGATGTGTATGAATGAACTGTTTGGATTGAATTTTTTTTTTTTTTTTGCAGATATTTACTGGAAGAATGAGCATCGGTTGGTATGCACGTCGGAGATTTGCACCGCCACTGAGCGGGATCGTTACGAGAAAACTGTATGCCATTCTTTCTCTTCCCGTTTTAATTCGTAAAATTGACTGATTGATTGATTGCTTTTTTGTTTGCTTTGTGGAGGCCTTTTGCCTCTAGCATAGAGGAATTTCGATAGATAATTAGGACGGGAGCGATTAGAATGATGCTGTAAAGCTTTTAGATGTCGAGGGAATTTGGATGTAGAACTGGAGAGGTAAGGATTACTTGTGCTGATGTTGAACTTGGTCATAGTAAGGAACGGAGCCCTTAATTCCCAAGGCCGAGGGTATGAGTAGATGTGCAAACTGATGGACTCATTAGCCCATCCCATCCGTCACTGAGGCGCTCGAACTCCCGTTGATAATAGCGGGGAGTTCCGATTTGTCGGATTTGAGTCAGAGCTAGCAGTTAGCTAGTATCTGTAGGAAGCGTAGGATTGAACTGGTGTTGCTTGAGAATGTCGAATACCTGGCGGAGATGATCTATATGGGAATCCCGATCCTTGCTGTAGATGAGGATATCATCGAAGAAAACGATCGCATGGATGGGATGGGCTAATGAGCCCATCACAAACACTAGATTGGAGTTGGCAACTCAGCTCTTTGTGGTTTCATGTTGCGTCCGTTGTATGTTGATTGTTGTCAATAGGCTGGTGGCAGAAATCAGCAGAGTTGTGGTATTGATGTAAGAAGGGAAAAGAAAACTTAGGTTGTAGGGTATATGTTCTAAGAGCCTCTCTCGCACAAAAGGATAGTTTTACTGTGTACATTAGAGCATACACTGGAGCGTTTTGGATGATTGTGGACAATTAGTAGCTCGTCAACCTCGTAAGACTGTTGTTGTCAACTAGATTCAACCTTGCTCCAAAATCCCATGGTCTTGGGTGAGCATTACAACTACAAGTCACTCAGATCAGTAGATTTACTATCTGGTTGCTGAACAAGAATAACTAGTGAGTTACGTAGTCTATTATGAACATGATAACCCTTGGATAGAGGCTTTCATGTCTCCCTGTGCACTGAATACGTCTTGATGACGGCGTTGAGGAATCTTTATTCGCTACTGAGGCTGTTCTAGTTCTGCAGTCATATCTAGGATTTGACAGAGCTTAAAGCATAAAGTAACTGAAGGTGGCAGATTAGGCAGTGGTTATCCAGCAGTTTTTCTTGTAAATATCTTCTACATTTCGGCGTCATCTGGTGAGCCTTATCTGATATTGGGAGAGTCTGAAATTGGTGTAACTATTGAGCATTATACAGTTGGTGCTCCCTGCAGTTCTTAAATTAAAAAACTTTGTATCTAGTCTCTCATATGAATTGGCCTCAGTTGACTCCCGACTCAATTAAGCTGTGATAATATGCTTACTTTGAATTCTAATTCTTATCATTAATGTCTCCTCTCTCTTTGGATTATTGTTCTGGACTTTTTTGTCATGTTGATGATGATAAGACCATCGTTGTTTTGTTATTATGCCGTGCAGATGTACAAATCTCAGAGGAATGTAGTTCTTTGTGCTGCAGCTTGCATGTTGTACTGGTATGCAAGCAATCAGTCACTGTTGCATTTCCAAAGTCTCTCAAAACCATGTATTATTACTTGAGGAGTTGTTCTAATCAAGTCTTAAAACATACCGGTGCAGGTGTCTTTATCGTATATGCAAGTACCACAAGGAGATCCAGAGGTTGGAGGAAGTGGAGAAGAGGGCCAAGGAGGAGTAGAGTTTTGCCATGTTTTTTACTGCCATTTGTATCGAACAGAATCTCCTTTGATTAATTATCTGTAGTTGTAATAGTATCTAAGAAGCGGTTATTTTTCACACTTGTTATGGACATATATGAGATTATTAGATACAAAGACCCACTTTCTATCTATTGTACTGGATTTTGCCCTTGTTGTTGTGTGTGGGTGAGTTCGCCCTTTTCCCCCAGGCCTGACTCCAATGATAAAAGCACTTGGAATGGTTATATCGTTCACCAATGACTAGATGAATTCGCAATAATAAGATATGTTACGATGTATCGTGTTCTTTCATCAATAATCATATCATTGTTCTGGATTTTTCGTTTTATTATTTCATTCGCGATGATGCATTGTTGTATTGTGTTCGTTCATCAATTACCTCATTGTTGGTGGAGAACACTTTGAATTTTCATTCTGCTATATTATAAAACGCAATGATTTCAACCGGTAAACTTCATATTAGTGTTCATGATTATCATATTCGAATCACGCAACGAAACAAATAGTTTCAAGTTTAACAATAAACACATGGCAAGAATGTAGGAAATTTTGTCCTCATTGTAGAACTGAAGCGGTAAAGACAAACTTATATAGTTTCATTAACTCTTGTTTTTTCGAAAACTATCAATGATTTTCATAACCCACAATTGGTGTTATTGATTTGTGAAAAAGAATCATATCGTATGTAATGTATTGCATGTACCAAATAATCCTCACTCCTAACTAGATCATCAACTACATTTTTTTTACACCAAAGAATCATCTTCTAACTACGTATACCAAATCCCTCCCCCAAAAAATCACCACCACTAATTTCAGTTTTCAGAACGATCGCTTCAGGTTCTTGAAATCCAGAGATTCAGTACACTCGAACTCATTCCTGAAAGGATTCATCATCTTCAGAGTCGCCGTCGCCTTCTCCTTGGTCTCTTCCCCGCAGCCAAGTTGCAGAACCAGCACCAGCTTCTGAAATGCCCCGACCTGAAGCCCTTCCACAAGGGCCCTCTGGTCGCACCTCCCGAGCTTCCAAATCACCGACACGGAAAACTCCGTCGCCGCCGCAGATATCCGCAGGATCTTCTTTACCAGCAGGGGCACCGTCAGCGAGTTCCCCGACGCGGCGGCTCTGCCTTTGGAATCGTCGCAGAGCTTGTCGAGAATCCCCAACGCCTTCTCGCTCACGCTCCGTTCTTTCGAGGACGAGATTATCGTCTCCAGGAGGAACGACACGAGGTCGGCGTCGATTAGCGATGATTTGAAGCGATCGCTCGATTTCGAGGTCGAGATCTGGAGGAGCTGGAAGATTAGGGTTAGGGAGAGCTTGGTGATGGCGGGGGAAATTGGGGATCTCAGGAATCCAAAGAGGATTTGGTGTAAATCCTCGATTTCCAGCATCGATTCGGCAACTCGCTCTCGCTTCGAGGACGCGAGGAGCAGTTCCCGGAGCGCGATGAGCGAGTTCTGCTTGGCGGCGATTCTGCTGCCGTTCGATTTCAAGAACCAGAGCAGAGCTTTGACCGATTCAGCCGACGCGAGACGGTCGCGAGCCGCTGCTGCTTCCTTTCCCCCGCCGCGGCTGCTCATCGTGAACATCCAGCTCATCGAGCTCAGCAGCTCCTCCAGAACCACCGCGCGCTTCTCCACCGTTTCCCTCGCGAATCCGTCGAACGCGGCGGCGAGCACGCCGGCGGCGCCGTTGGACGCGATTGAAATCCGGTTCCGCTCGCTCTCGTTCCCCCAGCTGGTCATCTTCCTCAAACACTCCCGGCAGTCATACTCATCGAGCCTTTTGGCCGCGCTCTCCAGCCGGGCCAGCACGGCGGCGATCTCGTCACCGGAGACGGGTACTCGCGGCGTCGGGATCCTCTCGACTCCGAACCTCAAGTTCTGAACGCACCAGTCCTGAATCATCCTCCTCAGCGCGTGGTTGGGGACCAAATCGAAGCTCATCAGGACCTGATTGGTGACCGGGCAGGTGAAGTTGCCGGCCTTGAGCCACGTCTCGATCCCGTCCCGGTCGTAGGAGATCCCCGACGACAATGTCACCGGGTCAGACATGAGGTCCAGCGAGATCGGGCACCTGAAATGCGTCGGAACAATTAGTGCTTCACCGCCGGCAATCGAAATCGAATCCTCATCGTGAGGTTTGTCGTGGTGGCTCTTGCTCTTGCTCATTCTCTTCCTCCTCCATCCGAATCCCATTGCTGAATATCTATATGTTGCTGTGCTTCTTCTGCTGCTTTTGTCCAACTCCGTTGATTGTTGGTTCTAAGGTTTTCTGACGAGTTTATCGATTCGTTTGTTGGTTTTAAGATTTTGGGAAGAGAAGAGGGTGAATATATATGAAGAGGAAGGAAAGTCAGTGACACGGCGTTCAAAAGGGGAGGAAGGAAGACTGCGGACCAAGAGGAAGAGGAGGTGTTTTTGGACGGTGAAATATTCAACATTCAAGGTAAGCATGTTTGTTTTGTTCGTGTGGAGAAATGCGTTCAAACTGTATCGGCGTGTTGATTTTTATTGTTATAAATTATTATTAAATTTTTTTTGGGGGAAAAGGCGCTGGGAGGACGAGGGAGGGTGCAGGGTAGTAAGTAAACGGCTAAACGCGGAGGAGACGGCGGCGTTTTTAGAGTAATTAATTAGGCGTTTAGAGATTAAGAGTTTTTTAATTAGAAGCGGGAGCTGGGGTTGGGGACCAGACCGAGTTGGGGGAGGATTTGAACGTTCAAAGAAAGAACTCTTTGGTCTACCGAATCGTCTACGATACTACACCGTATCTCCATGATTGAAAAGATCCGGGGTTTTCTTTTCCATTTTTAATTTCCCTCGTTCTGAGCATTTTCAATAATTTAGTATTATGACCATGCATAATTTGACGATAATCTTCATTCTGAAAATATGGTTCAGGGTCAGGACGGAGGGATGAGGAGTGTTGAGGGTTAGACAAATTGTGAAGTGGACCGAAAAATACTACAGAACTTGAGATATGACTTGTTGTTAAAGCGTGTGGTTTGTGATATCGTAAGTATTACAGTCGGATTAGAAAAATGTTATAATGTGAGTAAGATTAGTACGATGCAAATCTAATATAAGAAAAATTTATATCGTTTGGTACAATATAGTCAAAATGGTATTGCAAACTTGGGGTTTTTTCCTGGTTATGGTCGATGTTATTTTATTTTAGTATTATTTTCATAATGGTATCATGTAGGCATGTTACCAGTTCAATCATGGTTGTATCACTAAATATCATTTCGCTAGCTTGTCTGGTACCGTCACTAGTATTTGTAATGTTAAATTTTTTTTGTGTATTTTGAATTTAGTTCTTCATGATGATTCTAATGAGTACTTTGGAGGTTTCCAACTAAAAGAAAAACGTGATAGTATTTTTGTGTTTGTGAGACACATTCACTGATATGTTTACATAATTTACTTGGATCGATACAATATCATATTATTATTCTTGGAAAGGAAAGGACATTCTAGTATTTTGTCCAACTTCAAATTAAGTCTAGAACATAAGATTGGACATAACAATTATCTTTCAGCTTGTGAACATGGGCCGTGATCGAAAATGTCTTGCTATGGGGCACATAGTTTTCCTTTTCCCACATCTGTCCTTTGTTTTTGCACTTAATTTAGTCTAAACTAGCGTACTGTTATTATTCAATTCTTTGTGTTTATATTTTATGATTCCTAAAATAAGTCGTAACTATGAAATGGCTGTGTTGATTTGGTGGTAGATGGGGGAATCAAAACTGAGATTTGAAAGGATACCTCTTCTATTCTCTCCATGTATTAGGTTTGACCAGACCGTTTCAATTTGCATTCCAATATTCTGGCAGCTTCGTATTTGTCAGCAATACCCCTGGAGACAGTTGGAATAGTAGCTGGGCTGGGCCGCCTATCTTCAATCTCCACTGCGAACGAATGAAGGAGAGTCTCAATTCTTTATCTAGTCAATAGTTGTAAATTGTAATCCAAGTGGCGGTACGATGAAATGTGGATTTCTATTAGGGGTGGGCATTGGGTGGGTCGGGTGGATTTTGACCATAAAATGCACCCACCCGCGCTTAAACGGATTGATAATTTTTAACCCACCACCCACCCACATTTAGTCTCGGGTTGGGTCGGGCGGATGGTGGATGATGCGGGTGGGTTTGTGGGTTCACCCACATCACAATGTATATAATATAAAGGAGTCAACTTGACATGATAATAGGTGAAGAGAATCATCGAGGGAAACAAGAAGTTGAAATAGGGCGAAAAATGTCGAATTAGTTCTTAACTTGGATAGAAATTCTATTATGAAAGAGTTTTCTACAGATTGAGACGATTATTAGGTGCAAGGAACTAATGAAAATAATTCCACAAAGGAAAGAGCGGTGATCTAAGCACAAGAATTAGAGGAAAAAGTAAAGGGAAGAAGAGGGGATCTCTATTTGGAAGGTTGGCTTTGAGGTTCAAACTCCAGGAGCAGTCCGAGTTTATATCTAAAGTCTCCACTCTCCTCTCTCTAGCGCCAACGACTTTGATCTTTTTGCTGTTGGGTTGAGCGGGTCACCCGCACACTCACCCACAACCCACCCACCACCCAGCGGATGACTCCCAGCGCAACCCGTCACCCACCCACAGACCCACCCACTTAACCAAATTCGGGTCAAATGCGGGTGGGTCGGCCCAAACCCGCGGATGATCCGCCCGCATGCCCAGCCCTAATTTCTATAATATAGTAATACGGGAGGTTTTTCATTTCTTACAAATTTTTAGTAATCTAGTCAGTTTGGGTTGTTGAGCGAGTTAGAGTAAAAAATAGTTACAACTGTTGTTAATATATAAACCTTCATAACTTGTTCTCAATTTTCATATATCATACAAACATCGTAAAAATATTACGTTATTTATATTCTCAAGTACATATCTTTCTTTCTATATATTTCATCTTTTTATATCAACATAAAGGCCTAATATTCAAATCTCATATATAAACCTATGGAGTATCAACAATTTTTTTCCAAAATTTTATGTCTGTTTCGACTCCCATGGCAAACCCAAGATGGGCTGCCTCCGCCAAAATGCACGAGAAACACGGAGGTTGTTTTCTCTCATAAATCAACTCATCTCAATAACTTAAGTTATTGGAAGAAACTTACATGTGATACTTAAACCACTTTCTTAGTTCTTACACGCTTCTTCAAACAAAAGTTAACTTATGGGTTTGAAATTTGCAACATCCCGTTGTACCATGTGCTTGAAGACAAGGCCGGCCAATGATATTCGGAGGCTCTGTTCGAAAATTTAAAATGTGGTCCTAAAATTTTTTCCGCAAATTTATTAAAACTAAAAAATATTAAATAATAATAATATTTAAGTTCATAAAGTGATTGCAAAAGGAATCAAATCATCTATCATTGTTTAAAAAGTAACAACCATCTAGCATTATTTGAAATAGGGTTATAAGTATAATATGCCCATCTACTATGTCGTTTTATCAAACATGCCCCTCTATTATTTTTTACATCAAACATGTCCTTCTAGTTTGGAAAAATAATCAAACATGTCATTCTTATAAAATTTCCATCCAAAAATCGTTAACCACGATTGAACTTTGATTTGGGCGATACAAATGTCTAAACAATCCATAATAATTTGAATTTATAATTTTTTTTGTTCCTTTGTATAGTCAAATAATTCTAATATTTTCACTTTGACGAGACCCAAAAAAATATAAATAGGGGACAAAACTGACATTTTGTCTCTCATTTGCTGATGTAGGGTAGTCTTAATATCGGTTCAACCATGATTGATGATTTTTTCAATGGAAATTTTAACAAAAGTGCACGTTTGATAATTTTTCCAAAATATAGGGGCATGTTTGATATAAAAAATAGTAGAGGGGCACGTTTGATAAAACGACATAGTAGAGAGGCATATTATACCTATAACCCTTTGAAATAAAATCCTCTATTAGCTCTTCCATCTTTGCATCATCCAAATAGTTATTCTCAATTGCTAACATAGCTAACTCGTTAAGGCTCTCTTATGTTATTGTAGAGCGCATATAAGACTTCAACAACTTCAATTTCAAAAAGTTTCTTCCTGTTGTAGCAACAGTCACATGAATAGTTAATAAGTCAATGCGAATTATAATTTTTTTTTATCGAATTTGTAAAGCTTTATTAACCAGATGTTGCGGCTACATCGTCCAACTCAATCTGATCAACAATAATCAACGGAGGCCTATCATACCAAACTTCCCTCTCGGTCCAACGGGTCTTGACATGGGCCATAAGATGAGCTGCCATGTTTCCTTCCCTGGGCGCATACTGCCATGCTCCATTCCCTGTCTCTCGAAGTAACCGGGTGATGTTACGACATATTATACCCAACTCTGTGTGTATGGAATCCGCCGCTGCCAGCTTATGCGTGAGCGATAGGCAGCCTATTTCAAGAACCAGGTTCATCAAATTTGACTGATGAGCCAATTGTACACCGAACTCAGCAGCCACAGCTTCCTCCATCTCAGGTTCCCAACTTCCCGGGATATTCTTTGCTGCCGCTAGAAGGAACAACCCTTCATCATTACGAATCACAACCCCCAAACCGATCCCCCCAGACGGCAAGATACCTGCATCAGTGTTTATTTTCCATTGGCCTCTTTGCGGCCGTAGCCAATGCTTCACAATTGTTCTTTCTTCCTCCCCTACTTCTTTTGCTTGGTGTGCTCTATAATCCGTAATCCACATTTCTGCTCTAGGGACAATCTCATCCTCCGCCAATTTTGTTCCATTAAAGAGATGGGCGTTACGTTCCTTCCACAAGAACCAAAGAAGCACCACCCAGTCTTCAAATTTTGTCTCAGACTTTGAGTCCATTACTGTCTTCAGCCAATCATAACAGTTATCCGAATTGCGGCAGAGGAAGCAATCCACAAGCGCTGACTTGCGCCATAGACGAGACGACCACTCACACTCCCCAAATCTATGGATTTGGGTCTCCCTTACGTCGCAAAACGGGCACTTATCTCCCCATCGCTTGCTTTTGACACTGATATGGTCTCCGGTTGGGGAGCTCATATTCCAGATTCTCTTCCATACTTGGGCTTCACCTTCCATCACTATCTGCTCTCGGTTCTTAAACTCCTCAAGCCAACATCGGTACCCGTCCCTTACAGTGTATTCCCCAGAGGAAGTTCCTTTCCAAATCAGCCTGTCTTGCTCCCTTAAGTCACGGAGAGGGATGGAGCGAATGGTGCTTGCAATTTCCGAAGGGAAACAAGCTTCGAGCATCACTTCGTCCCATTGATTTAGTTATTTTTTCCTTTATACTATTAGTGGTTGTACCTAATTATTTTGGTTAACGTTTAATAAATCAATGTGAATTATTTAATTAATTAAGCACTGTTGCATTGATAGTACAAGCAGATTAATTAACGAAATTGAATTCCTTTCCCCTTGCAAAGCTGAAAATGAAGAAAGTTAAAGCAACAAATTTAATAATGATAATAATGATGCATCATCAATTACCTCTTTTGTTCTATTTAGGAAACACGCGACAAATAAGTTATGTTATATGGTTTGAAAATATTTTAATAAGAAAATAAGTATTCACCTCATGTGATTCGTTCGTTCCTTTAACCTTCGGAATTAAATATTTTATTATTATTTTATACCGTAATCAAAACCCAATTCATAAGTTTTCTATCATTTTAAATTTATAATCGAAATCTAATACTCTGTAACAGTGATTAGTCATATACATAGTGGAGGTCCGAAGGCCCCCAAAATTTGGAGGCCTTGTGCCGAAGGGCTGGCTTGCACACCCTCAGGGCGCCCTACTTGAAGATAACAATTAATATTGTGGGTCATGAGAACTTAATGCATAACCTCAAGTACAAATCAAATCTGATATCATATCATAAACTAACTAGTCTCAATAACATGAGTTGTTGGGAGACACTATCTATGCTAACTTAACCACTTCCTTATATTATCTTTAATTCATTTATGATGAGAAGAAGATCAATTTGACCGCAAGCTGGAACAGGGAATTTGCATGATGACCGTTGAAGGAAGGGATGACCGGTTCAACCCATTAAAACCGGCAAAGACGACAGCAGAGCTAGACTTAACTGTTTCTGTTTACCGTTTCTAATTAGGATTCCACGTTCCTTTGCGTGGACTTCCTATATTTCCCTTTCAAACCCAATTCAAACTTCTATACAATTAGCAAATATTTATGCACCTCTTTTTTTATCACTTTCATTTCCTGCTCAATCTATTCAAAGACTCCTTTATAGCTAAGAATTTAATATAATTGAAGAAATAGTTGTTCACCAATCTGGCCGGCTCAAGGAGTCAAAAAAATGTTATGTTAAGTAGGTGGCCGGGAGGTGACATACTCTTTTAAGTGGTCTTCGAGTATGATATGACGCTGCTATGAAACAAAGCCAAAGCGATGTAATTGAGTTCGCTGCATTTTTAGGTGTTGGATCAATCTATCCGGTTTTGTTTTTTTTGGCATATCTTGTGATGATGTTGTAAGACATTTTTATTGTTAAATTACTTACTTTTTCGTAATTTGGGAGAAGGTACATGCATGTGAAAACCGAAAACACTCTGAACATGGTGAGATATACATATATAATTTCTACATTGATGAGAGCCGAGAGGGCAATTAGAGAGAATCAACCAAAATAAGTTCTCATCATGATGTGAGTTGCGAAAGTTGCCACTATTATAGAAATTTATCACTACACAAGAAAATGCTTAACCAATGCTTTTTTTTTTTTAATCTATTTCCAAAAAAGTAACGACTTTAAACATGCTTCATCGAGACATAGATGGCATGCATCATAAACGGCACATAAATGGACAGCGCGAGGAACACGATCGCCACCAGCGACCCCGCCGCCCTGACGGCGTAGACGCTGCCGCACGAGATCTTCCCGACCCGAATCTGTATCACGTCCACCATCGACAGCGTGAGAAACAAGCAACCGAGAATCGATCCCCAGGCGGAAAGCATCAAAAGGCCTCCCCTTATCGCCTTCAGGGCGTTGCTCCGCATGACGTCAGCCTTGTGGCGGTAGATGTTGAGGTGGACTTTCAGTGTCTTGGCGACGAGGCTGGACAGCAGGAAGCAGGCGAACGAGACCACCTCCGAAACGACGAGCCGTTTCGGGATGTTCGGGTCGGCGTCGCACTCGGCCCGGTCCTCCAGGCTGCGCTCCCCGCGGTGGGCCAGGGACAGGCCCACGAAGACGGCGATGGTGAAGAGGGAGTTGACGTTGACCAGGTCGTCCAGGGCCTTCTGGTGGATGTCGATTGTGTCCACGATGCGTTGGGCTTCGGATGCTGAGTAAGTGGGCTTTGTGGTATTGGTTTCTCTTTCTCTGCAAGGGGAAAGCCCAAACTAAAAAATAAGGTGGTGCAAAAAATATTTTTAATGGTTTTTCCCCCCCAATTAGATCTCTTGATTAGAGAGATAGAACACTGATCAACAAGAGTTCCAATACAGCTAGCCTAGTGGCTAGAAACCCAAGCAACATAGTCGAAGCTCCCTAATAAGCGAGGCGACAAAATCAGAGCCTTCTTGGCAACCGAATGAGCCACTCTGTTTCCCAATCTACCAACGAACCACAACCTATACCTCGGACGAAGCCGAAGAAATCCACAAGTTTCTGTCAAAATAACTCCCGCACAAGCATGGGAGTGGTCATTGTTGCCGTTTTGAATTATGCTAAAATGAGTTACTAGGATAGTAGGAGATTAAAAAGAATACTATGGGACATCATGCGAAATTGAGCTTTGGGACAAAGATTATTCATATACGTGTTATAATGCTAAAATTCATTCTTGAATCTGTTTGTCCACAATTTTAGTTATCAGTGTAACGATTCTTCATTCTCTATATATAATGTTTGAATAGATTATTACTATTGACAGGATAATGATCGAGATTTGAACATATAACCTCTTCAATATGGAGCAAATTATGAAAATGGCCCTCTCGAGAAATACGAGAAGTGATCCCTTAGTAATGCTACAAGCCTATAACACAAGAGTTTCTGCTATCATTGAGCAAAACCAAAATATTTATTAGGAATTCAATGGTTTAGGTGACCGAGTTGAAGTGAGGTTAAGAAAAACATCAAGGAAAATGAAACGTACCCATTTTCCATACGTGACAGTCGGTGCTCTTGAGTTTTTATCTTAAAGAAGTGAATGGCGGTGAAGCTCTTTGGTGCTGGTAATCTGGTATTTATGGAGGATGTTAGAACTGCAACTTAAACGAGAAGGAAAGGGATGTTTTCAGAAAGTTAGCCTATGAAGAACGCATTCAAAGAATTGATGAGAAAATGATACTTGATGTGTCTGTTAGGGAATCACATTTAGTGGGTTCTTTCTCATTAGTGCTCCCGTTGATTAAGGTTGTCAAACCGGTTTAAGTCATTGAGCCGGTCAAGCAAGGGGTTTGAGGTTTAATGGTCTGATCGGGGTCCGGCCGGTTTGAGCCGTTTTAGACGTTTTCTAAATATATATACAAATAAGGTAGTAATTAAAGATTTAATGAGTGAAATAAAACTTATCTTACATATATCTATTAAAAACTTATTTTCAACAAAATAAATCTACCTAACCTCCATGATCCACCCACCATTTTCCTTCTTTCGTTCCTCTTCCTCTCTTCCCCCACTCTTCTTCTCCTTCTTTAGGGGTCAGACCGGGGGGCTTTCTGGAGGCCGTTTTGAAGCCCGACTCGGGTCGGACCGGGTCCAACCGGGGGGTTCGATAGGGGTTTAACAACCTTGGTTATTTTCTTCCTAGAACACATTCATTAATTAAAAGAGGCATGTACATGGTCACCTCCCACTCTCTCACCACCACCATTGGAATAGATGCACTCCAAACAGGATTTGGCCATGGCCCCACCAAAATACAATTTTAAGCACTTTGTGTTTTGGTTAATTTTTTTACAATTGAAGCACTTGGTAATTATGGGGTGGTGGTGTTCAAGGTTTAATTACCTTGCTTGACTTAGAACTGATTTCACTCCAGGTTAAGATAAGCCTTCTTATTTCTTTTCTGAGGTTGTTTTTACACATATATGAGGTAGAAAGCTTCTCCAATCGTAACCACTTATAATTTTTCTTTTTTTTCTTTCGTTGGGATATCACATTTTTTATAAGGGCGATATAGATTTACTTTTTGTGATTTTAAGTACTTTTTAAATAATTCAAAACTGGGATGCCACATATTTGTATTACGGAAAGTTTCACGATGTACATTTTCATGATAATAAGCCTTCATGTGTTCAACAATCATTTGAGGTGGAGAGCTGGAATGGCAAGAGCGATTGAGCAGGCCTTCAGGTAGAAAGCGCATATGTAGCCTTTAGAGGTGGCAAATAGATTAGATGCATGATTTGATGGATTTGGATCAAATTAATTAGTGAATTTATGAATTAGATTAAATGGATTGGTTAATTAGGAACTAAAATGTGATAATAAAAAAAATTAGGTGCCAAAACATATTTTTCCAATGACATTTCCATTAATAACATAAATAATAGGTATCAAATCATAAAATATAAAAATAAAACATATAGGTACAAAACAATAATATTCCAAATATCAATGAATCACCAATCCAATTGGAATTAGATTTAAATGGATTTGATTAATTTGATATTTTAATGGATGAGTATAATTGAATTGATGGATTGGATTCAAAATTTCCACCTCCAATAGTCTTCAACCATATCGTCTATTAGGGGTGTTCAAATGGTGTGGTTACCGTGCTAACGATTTAACCAGTAGTATTCAGATAATTTAGTTTGGACTAATTTGGATAATTGATGTTGGTTGGTTAAATTTTTTAGTTTGTTTGGTTTACCTGGTTTGATTTCAGTCATTCATAACCAATCAAACAAATTAAGCAATAAGTCATATAACTAATATATTATATACTTGTACTTAATACTTTGCATAATCACTCGAGAGTCAAATGCTCCTCCCATTCGTATCAATGAAAAAAATAACTCATTATTGTTCCTATATAGTAATTTTCTTATAGATAATAGACAATGACGTATGGTTACCTAATTTAGATAAATCTCATGCATTTTGTTGGATGAAAAACTGAAAGGCAAGAGTTTTTTATCCATTGATAATTGCTAAAAGACTAAGACGATTCATACAGATACACCCAGTTCATTAACCCTATATTATTAGGTGGTTACTTCTAGTGACGGTAATATAATTTTATTAGTCGTATATATTTATTTTAAGGGTTAACTATGTGTTAATCCTTTGATTTTATTCATTGTATAAATTACGGATTAATGCGCTATTGAAATATTTTTTCTCACCTAATGATAATGTTATGTTATATTTGGTTAATTGAGTGATTAAATTTTAGTTTGATTAATATGATTGTTGTATTAGTTTGATTGATTTGATAATTACGATGATAACCATTTTAACACTCCTACCATCTATGTGTGGACACATCTTTAGTTTTTAGCACAAATTTGAGCCTGCCCCTCCAACGTCAATGCACCTCATTTTTTGTCACTAGTCTTGTACACATGTAGCATGCATCTAAAGTAGTTAGGCTTTAGTGGTATCTTAATTACAGTATTTAGTTTCCTATAAATTTGATCACCTACCCATGATATGACATACTATTTGTTACTCTACTCAAGATATCGATGAGAGAACTATCTACTATTAAAATGTAAACTCACAAATCTACAAATATATTATAGAAGAGTTGTGAGCAGTTTTTCAGCATTTTAAATTTCGTGCAACGAGAGCGAAAGTAGGAAGGGTAATTGTGTCTTTACAATCATTATTTATTTTTTATTCATAAAAAATATACATCAATCTCGAGATTTGAACCATGGTTTTTTCAAACAAAAACAAGAACCATTACCAATTACACTAAAAAAATGTCTTGTATCTGTTTAAATACAAAATCTAAAATCTAAAAATTATATGACTTTTCATTTACTAGCTAGCCCATAACTCATTAGTAAGTACTTTATGTTTTATTTGATATTTGAATTTTCATATTTTGATCATTTTAGGTTGAGTTTAATAATAAATTTAATTTATGTCTATCTTATAAATGGAGGATAATTTTAAAATTGCAATCCAAATATCATTGATTCGAATATTGCATATTGGATTGTAGTATTGAATGTGTAGATGTAATGTAGAATTCTTAACTTGGTATTAATTTTTAGAACTATTAAAGCAATGATATTGTTATGCAAATTGTAAGTGACCAGTTTTTTTAAAATTATAGTTTGATTATCCGTTAAATCCTATCTCTTGATAACATGGCATGATTGGACAAATGGGTGGGTTTAAAAGAACACAATTTCTTAATACCAAATTTTCTAGATAATTTCAATTATTTAAATCTTTTTATCTTATATGGACATTGACCATATGTATCATTCATAGTTACTTAGTTTAGTATGAAATAACCGTAGTACAAGACAAATTGTGAAAGTCGGGCTGGAGTTTTCATGGACGCATTTATGTGGTTATGTGCATTAGCAAGGTAGGTACCACAAGATATGCTTAATTTTTTTGCTGAGTGAATAAGATTGTCCATCAACTAAATATAGAGTATGCTGATTGATAAATAATTTTTTCATTGCATAGAGTATGGATGAAAAATGTTATATTCTTACTAATTTTGTTATTGTATTGTGCAAAATACTTTAAGGTTTAGATATTGCAGTATTGCTATATATGTATTGTTTCTCAAGCAAAAGAAATAAATATTGACTAAAGGTTATGTTCATGAGTTTTCTATTTATGCTACGCTTTTTCAGACAAACTCTTTTTTTGTTATGTCAATTCTCTTTTCAATCATAGGCAACTAAGTGACTACATCATTAAATAGACAGTTATGAATGATTATTCATGAGTGTTATAACCAAGATTGTTACACCAATAACGAGCGGTTGGTTTGACAAAGTCCGACGAAAGTCGAGCTAAAAAACGGGCTCTACAAAATCAAGGTCTTGATCGTTAGAGAGGGAGAAGAAGAGAGAGGGAAGGGGGAGAGGCAAGGGATGGTGGGTGGATCTTGAGATCGATTTATTTTTTTTATATGTAATTTGAGTTTTTAATAGATATAAATCAGTACATTTCATTTCAGTCACTAAAAGTTTATCTTATATGTAAATATATTTAGAAAAGGTATAAAACAGCTCAAATAGGTTGGATCTCGATCAAAGCATTAAACTTTAAACCGCTTGCTTGACATGCTTAATGACTTAAACCGATTTGACATCTTTGGTTATAACCATTAAGATTACAATGTTCATCAGTGATGAAAAGTTATAAGAATTTCGAAAATGAAAAAATA